TCTTCCTGGACCATTCGTGACTCGCGCACGTCTCGGCCTCCCCACGTGTGGGAATTACAGGCTTGAGCCACCGTGCCCGGCCTACATTCACATAAACAATATTGTGTCTTCAACTCCTCTGCAAGAACGGCGCCAGGGTCCCATGTCATTTTTTTCTTTTTTTTTTTTTGAGACAAAGTCCTCGCTCTGCTGCCCAGGCGGAGCGCCAGTGGTGCTATTCTCCTGCCTGTCTGCCAAGCTCTGTCCTGGGTCACACCATTCTCCTGCCTCAGCCTCCCAAAGTGCTGGGACTAAGGTGCCCGCACCACGGCCGACTATTTTTGTATTTTTTAGTAGAGATGGGGTCCTTCACTGTATTAGCTAGGATGGTTCGATCTCCCTGGACCTCGTGATTCTGCCTCACCTCAGTCCCTCCCAAAGTGCTGGATTACTGGCGGGGAGCCACTGCACCTGCCAGTCCCATGCTCATTTTTTACGAGTGCCTCTCTCGCAGATCGTAAGCAATCCCACATGCACTTCTTGCTGGCACTTGCCCCTGGGGTCAGTTGAAAAACCCATCTGAGATGGTGGTCTCCTGAAATGATTATTATTTTTTTGAGACGGAGTCTCACTCTTAGTTGCACAAGGCGGAGTGCGATGGTGCAACTCCCTTGGCTCACTGCAACCTCCCCTCCCAGGTTTCAAGTGATTCTCCTGTTCAGCCTCCCAGAGTAGATGGGATTACAGGCACATGCCACCATGCTCGGCTAATTTTTTTTTTTTTTGTACTTAGTAGAGATGCAGGGTTTCATCATAATTTGGTCAGGCCCTGGTCTTGAACTCCTGAAACTCTCCGGTGATCCCGCCCGCCTTAAGGCCTCCCAAAGTGCTGGGATTACAGGTGTCGAGCCACCACACCTGGCTTTTTTTTTTTTTTTGAGACACAGTCTCCGCTCTGTAGCCAGGCTAGAGTGCAGTGGTGTGAAATCTTAGCTCACGGCAACCTCCAGCTCCTGGGTTCGAAGTGATTCTCCTGCCTCAGCCTTCCAAGTAGCTGGATTACAGGCACCTCACCCCACTGTCGGGTATACTTTTGGCGATTTTATAGTAGAACCAGGCTTCACCATGTTGACCTGGCTGGTCTTTAATCCTGTCCTCAGGTGATCCCGCCCACTAGCTCCCAGCAGTGCTGATTACAGGTTGTGAGCCGCCGCACCCGGGTCTGTAAATATATTCTTGATGGGTACAAATATAGCTATTTCTGGAGACACAGGCTGGTCTCTTAGAGGGAACCAGCACAAGGCGTGTTGCAGATTATTAAATTGAGAACTGAGACTCAGCAATCCCCACACCAGGTGGTACGAGGCTCCGCGACGTGGACACCTCTCTCACAGACCTCAGCTTTCCTCCACCACAACCGCGTTACTGTGGCAGGCTTCTAAGGAGTTTTTGGCTTCAGGGAAACTAGTAAGACACCTCCAGATAGAATTCCTGCATAATATCTAGAGGTTGATCCTGGCCTGGAGTTATTCGGCTGTATGAACCTTGGGCGAGATGATTTATCATACAGGACTTCATTTCCTCCTATAAATGCGACATGTGCTTGGTGGATAAGCAATCAATGTGAAAATGCCAACACAGAACCAGCATACAGCAACTCATCCCACCCTGAACCCCAGCTGAATGGCTTGAAAGAAATACCACCAGCAATCAGGTAACAATGAGAACATAATACAGCTTTATTTAATAATCTGTAAAAAGTCATACTCTGGCAGAGGTGATGCATTCCTGTATCTCAGCAGAAAGCAAGACAGTGGTTGTCTGAAAAGCCCTTCCCAAGATTTGGAACTGTGAACCCTGAGCTTACACCTCCAACCGTTCCCAAGAGCTGGGCCTCTTGCTATGTGGCAGCTGGTCTCCCACAGTTTCCTCTCACCCTCGCAGCAAATACTCTCTGTCCTTTGCTGTGACTTCCTCACTAACAGTAGACAGAGGCCGCTGAAAAAACTTTTACTCTGGACAGGGCTGCCCCTACAGACGTGGACTTTTCCCTCCTACAAAAAAGCGGAGTTCATGGAATTAACAATCTTTCTGATCAGGTCTGGGCCAAACCAATGACTCATGCCTATAATGCCCAGCACTCTTGGGAGCCTGAGGCGCGACTAGATCACCTGAGGTCCAGGAGTCCACGACCAGCCTGGCCAACATGGTGATATTCCATCTTCTACTAAAAACACGCCGGGCGTGGTGAGGCAGGTGCCTGTAGTCCTAGCTACTCGGAGGCTGAGGCAGGGAATCGCGTTCAACCCAGGGGGGCCAGAGGGGTGAGCCAAGTTTGCGCCATTGCAGCTCCAAGCCCTGCGGCTGACCAGACGAGACTCTTATCTCCAACAAAAAACAAAAAAAAACAAAAAAAAAAGGTTCCTGAGAAATGGGTTCTGTATCATTTACTTTGGCTTGCCATTACATGGTACGAAATCAAGGCCCATACTTACTTAAACATCGATACATGGTTAATGGTTGGTTCCTCTCTCCACCCATTTCTCCACCATCTAACATGCTTTTAGGCCATCACTCTCCCCCGCTCCTGGTAACTAGACGGAATGGAGACACCCTCCGCATAACCGCTAAGAGGCACCTTCTTGTGGCATATAGTGGATCGTCCAGTCATCCAGCATACTGCAGCCGACAGCAGTTTTTGCCTCTTCAGAGCAAGGCCCTGGCATTTTGTGTTCCCACCTTTCCTGTGCTAAGAGATCCAAGTAATTAAGCCACATTCACTCCTTGGAAAGAACTCTATGTTGTATCGGAACACTCACCGATGGTTCATGGGGCTTCCAGCAGAATATATTCCTCCCTTTTTTCTTATGACAGAGCATACAGAAATTCATGTTTGGACAGAAGGAGTCTCTCTACTGTACATAATCACCGCTCTACTATTGCTCACAATCAATCAATGGGTCACATAACAATTATGATTTTCCACATTCCTCAGAGCTGCTCTCTCCTGAAATCACTCTGCAAATTTTGTTGACCAATTTGCAAACAAAAGAGAACGCAGTGGCCTACCCAACCTAGAAATCTATTCTGCCTAATTCCCTTAAAAACACCATTGAGAATGCAAAATAAGTCCCTTTTTTGTTTTTTTGCAGAAGCACTACAAGAAAGCGTGTCTAAAACCACAGAACTATGCACACACAAACAGAGACACACGTGCTCGCACACACACAGAGTTGGGATCAAAGAATCTTATCCGATACATAGTTGGGGGAGCACGGGAAAAAGCTGGCAAGAGAGGATATGGAGAGATCTGATCAGCTAAAGATGTTGGAATGTTACAGTATGGCATGGAAGTGGTTCTTGGGCTATACAAAAAAGGGGGTGGGCAGGCAGAGAGAATGATAAATCCAGGCTACTAGAGAGAGGTTCAGTGGCCATGCATGAGTTAAAGATAGTAGAGGCCAGTTTACATGGATGAAATGTTATATTATGGAGTGGTCATTTGAAGAAGGATGGACTTGCAATGGTCCAGGGGAGGAGCATCTGCTTAGCAGGACACCTCCATGGTCTGGTGTCTGTCCAGGACATCAGGGGACTCACAGGATTCTTGAGTTCCATCTGACTGATTGCTGGTGACAGACCGGCTGAAGGGACTTTCTCCAGAGCCGAGGCTACTCGAGGTTGAGTGGGTTCGTGATCGGGCGAGCCGAGTCATGCTGGCAGATGGTACTGTAACAGAGAACCAAGGGGACTAGAAGATGAAGCCCTAGTTAAGCCCAGCTAACCTAGGAGTCTCACCAAAGGCTTTATGTTTAGCTTTTCCGACTCATTTACAATGACACCCAGGACAAGATATAGCCATCCCCATTTGGTATTATTTGCTCTAGGTGAGTGGTGATATGTGAGGCCACTTTAATCCTTTAGATCTGGTTGGAATCTCAGCTGATTGTAGTCACCACAGAACAAGGGGAAACCCTAAGTCCAGAGTATGGCCTCTTAGCTATGCCCACACCATTCAGACAGTGACAGAATGGAGGCTTTGGGAACCCAAACAGGTAACCAAAACCTACAGTGCATGCAAGACTAAACCAAGAGAAAAGAAAGACAAACACACGAGTATGAAGGTGTTTCACAAACACAGTGCAAGCCCGATACAACGAGACTACCATCCGTGTCCACAGGCTACCTTGCTACCAGGGAGGAGATGTGTAGGACGGTGCAGGTGAAGGGCAGGGCAGGTTGGCTTGGAGCTGACCTCGACACAGGGATGAGGTACAGGTTGCCAGAGATGGAGGAGCTCTGGGGGTAGGTGTTAAACTCAGACTCCTGTTCTGCCACTGCTTGACTCTAAGGTCCTTCCAGCTTGGCTGGGACTGGGCCTTACCTGGCATATAGCCTCCCTGCCTATCCTCCTGGGCAGCAGCCACTGTATTTCAATGCTGTATTTCAATGCTGGGGTCAGAAGGTGCTATCATCTGCAGAGTTCTCTGGGCACAGGCTCTGACCCTCCTATTTAGAGCCAAGGCTGTCCTTGATTTCTGTGTCTGGAGGTTAATTCAAGGATTAGTAGGTGGCGGTGGAAGATGTGCCCTGCCTATCAAGTTTCAGCTGCTGCTATGACCCTGGATTTAGGATGACAAGAGGAGGCCTGCCCCTTACAACCAGATCCTTTCTTCCTCCTGGGAGACCAGGGCTGGACCTGTAGGCTAAACCTCTTGGGGCGTACTGAGCCACGTTCTATCGGGCTCTCACTGCACAGGAAGACCGCGGACATGCTGCAGGCAGCCAGTGCAGCCAGGAGAGACTGGAAGGCGGGGCGGGGCCAGCACAGAGGAAGGTACCTGACTCGGTGCTCAGGTGACTGAGCTGCACATACGGGACTGGAAGCAGGATGGACACAGGAAAAGGCAAGTTAGTGATCCGAGAGTGCCAAGTGGCAACCTCAGCTGCCTGGTAGACATGACAGAATACTCTAAGCCAGGGATAAAGTTTTATTTTAAGCTCCCAGAGAGGAGCTGAGGCTGACAGATACTTCAATAACATCTCAAATGTTACTTTCCCCAACTAGACAAAGGCAATTGTTTTCCCCTCGCCTATAAACAGTCATCTTGCTTTGGATCAGAAGTGGGCTGGAAGATCAGCTATTTCATAGGAAAAGGATAAGAATGGGATAGGAGAGGGGCTCCTGCTCCTCCCAGTGAGCCACAAGACTGTGGGTGTGGGCTCGGTTGGTAGCGGCTCACAGGCAAGGATGACACAGCCACTTAAGACAAGACATACATGGTCTGCCTGGCAGGTACAGGGCTGCACCCAGGGCCCAGCTGCCCAGAGCAGCTGACCAGGCAGCTCTCCAATGACCATTATCCACACTAATACCAAAGACAGGAGAAAAATCACCCTACTGGGTAAGGAGCTCTGTACCTGGGTGAAAGAGTTTTTCTTAAAACTCCAAGAAAGGAGCAAGTGTAGATAATTCTGTGACCATGAGAAAGCTCAGGGGTCTTACAACACAAAAGACCAAGACAATGGCATATGGTATGGACACACCCTTGGACTTGCTCTAAAACACTCTCCAAGTTCATCTCCTGGAGTGGAGGAGACTTTCCCATGGATACTGCCCTTTTCTCCTACGTCTCCGTTTCATTTCTCTTGGTCAGGAGTTATTAACCAGCTGAGTTTAAATGCAAATCATAATTTCAGATTCACACCTAGGACAGCCTAAGCTGCAGGGGTTCAAAATTGGGCTTTGGAGTCAGACTGCCAGGGTTTGAATCATGGCCCTGCAGCTGAATTTTTACCCTTAGCAATGTGCTTAGTCTCTCTGAGCCTCAGTTTCTTCTTCTATAAAATGGCACTAATAACAGAATGACCTCTTAGATTAAGAATATATAGGCTGGGTGTGGTGGCTCACGCCTGTAATCCCAGCACTTTGGGAAGCTGAGGCAGGCAGATCATGAGGTCAAGAGATCAAGACCATCCTGGCCAACATGGTGAAACTCTGTCTCTCCTAAAAATACAAAAATTAGCCAGGCATGGTGGCATGTGCCTGTAGTCCCAGCTACTTGGGAGGCTGAGGCAGGAGAATCGCTTGAACCCAGGAGGCAGAGGCTGCAGTGAGCCGAGATCACACCACTGCACTCCAGCCTGGCGAGAGTGACACTCCGTCTCAAAAAAAAACAGAAAACAAAAGAATATATAGTGCCTGAAAAAAGTAAGTGCTGAGTGTTAGCTTCTCATAAATATGGACAAATCAATGTTCCATAACCATTTCAGTTTCTACTTTGCTTAAGGCTAGCTGCCACAGAGGTTATATCTCAGGAATTGTGGGCTCCCAGATGTGAAACTGGACCCCAATAATCCTAAATTGTTGCTAGATAGAAAGTTGTATACTACTCACTGTAGCCCATTCCCTGCAAAAAGTACTTGAAGGCCTCGGTGAGCTTCCCAGGCTGGGGGGATAAAACAAGAGGGCATTAATCTTCGCACAGACAGAGAGGCAGAATTAAATGGGTGTTTAAAAAAAAAAATTTCCTTACCTGAACTACCTGGGGCAGTCCCCCACAGTCTGCCATCTAGAAAAGGAAAAATATGCAAGTCAGCTGGGACTTACCCTTAAGAGAATTGCTCTGAACACCCCAAGTCCTTTCAAACAGAACAAGATCGAATTCTAGGTTTTAATGTTTAACTGCAAGTTTACCTACATACAAACATTTATAACCTTGGATGAAAATCTGATATCATTATTACATACTTATTCCTCAATAAGACTGAAGCCCTGACTTTCAGGCCCATGGTGGGAATTTTCTGTTGAGGTGATAGTGAAGTTAACCACTATTCTCAACCCTGAAAAGCACCTGAAGAATGTTCCCTTCAGAGCCCTCGAACAGTGTGACTCTAACTTCTCTGTGCATCGTGCTTTCCAAGTCCCATTTCAACTCTACATTATCTTTCCTCCATGAGTAAGGACACTCAGCCATCAAGAGCTGATACTGATTCAGCCAGCTCGCTCAGTCAGTTACTTTCCTCTAATAGCTGGGTTTGGTAATGCTGCTTTTCACTTCATAAACATTTACAGCTGGTTATTCTCATGCGTGCAAGGATTTCTAGGATATGGCTTCGTTAGTGTGTGCTGGAATTACTTGAAGGACTTGTTAAAACTCAGATTCTTGGATTCCTGTCCCAGAGATTCTGATTTGATAGGTTTGGGGTATGGTTCACGATCATGCATTTCTGGCCAGGCGCGGTGGCTCACATCTGTAATCCCAGCACTTTGGGAGGCCGAGGCGGGGGGATCACCTGAGGTCAGGAGTTCCAGACCAGACTGGCCAACATGGTAAAACTCCATCTCTACTAAAAACACAAAAATTGGCTGGGCGCGGTGGCTCACGCCTGTAATCCCAGCACTTTGGGAGGCCGAGGCGGGTGGATCACGAGGTCAGGAGATCGAGACCATCCTGGCTAACACAGTGAAACCCCGTCTCTACTAAAAATACAAAAAATTAGCTGGGTGTGGTGGCAGGCACCTGTGGTCCCAGCTACTCGGGAGGCTGAGGCAGGAGAATGGCATGAACCCTGGAGGGGGAGCTTGCAGTGAGCCGAGATGGCGCCATTGCACTCTAGCCTGGGTGACAGAGCGAGACTCTGTCTCAAACAAACAAACAAACAAGCAAACAAAAAATTAGCCAGGCATGGTGGCACACACCTGTAGTCTCAGCTACTCTAGAGGCTGACACAGAAGAATTGCTTGAACTCAGGAGGCGGAGGTTGCAGTGAGCCAAAATCATGCCACTGCACTCCAACTTGGGCAACAGAGAGTCCATCTCCAAAAAAAAAAAAAAAAAAAAAGGAACTTACAGTTCTAATAAGCTCCCAGGTGATTTGAATCTACTATCCACAGTAAAGCATTTTTAGGGCATGCTGGCCCTAGGCCTGCTCTTTCTTCTAGCTGTTACGCACTCTGGGCTCAGATGATATCCTATTCAGGCTGACTGGCTTTTTTCAAAAAGGAACATGAACTCCATGGTTTCAATTCACTGGCATCAAAACTTATTATGAGGAGGGACTACAACTGAGGAGAATGCCACAGAAGACATAGAAGTTTGAGATTAACAAGGGAGAGGCCTCTGAAAATTCTAAGCATAAGATTATAAACAGACATTTAATCTAACAAATATACAAAAAACCAAACCAGCACAGGCTGTATTTTCATGAAGTTTAGGAGCTGAAACCTGATTGGAATATAGAACAGTTCCCATATGCAGAGAGAATACTGGAAGAAACTATTTCCAAGATGGGTACCTATCAAATGGTTTGAGAATCAGTTCGATCTGCCATAGGAGTTATCCACTCTATTCTATGGTGTTATAGATGGGCATTTTTGCCCAAAAATAACTATGTCTATGGTTATTGTAGGGTTTAGTTTTCTGCGTTTGAATATTGATTCAAACCTGAAGTGAGAAACTAGTTTGAAACTACAAACTTAAAAAAAAATTTTTTTTTTTGAGATAAAGTCTCGCTCTTGTTGCCCAGGCTGGAGTGCAATGGCACAATCTCAGCTCACTGCAACCTCTGCCTCCCAGGTTCAAGTGATTCTCCTGCCTCAGTCTCCAGAGTAGCTGGGATTACAGGCACCCGGCATCATGCCCGACTAATTTTTGTATTTTTAGTAGAGATGAGGTTTCATCATGTTGGGCAGGCTGGTCTTGAACACCTGGCCTCAGCCTCCCAAAGTGTTGGGATTACAGGCATGAGCCACCATGCCCAGCCCCTCCCCCAAATTTTTAGACCAGCCCATCAATTGCCTGGAGGGCAGAACATTTTGAATGTGGTCACCTCAGAGCATTAACCTCACATTAGATTTCTAGGAACTACAGGCTGTTTCTGGTAACAGCACTTCCCTTTCAAACACACTTCAAAGAGAAAAGGAAGATGGCAGAGGTCTTTCAGACTGAAAATGTAGCAGTAAGCAACATATGATCAGCACTGAAATCTACAGTAGTCCAAGTACAAACTAGAAGGTCAGCTACCTAAACACTTTAGTAGAGGCTCTAGGAAAAGCTAGGTTGAAACAATAACAGGTAGAAATTCTTGCCTCCTATATACTCAAAAGTGGGAGACACTTGATACTATCTCTAGATATTTAGCATAAGAGTTGGTCTGTATTTGCCCTAAGAGAAAGAAAATGCATACACTCTCATCATGAGAATTGTTACTGAAAGCTTCCTTACCAATACAGCAGCAGGACTTTGCATATAAAGAATTTACATCCATTATGTTAATTCTCACAACATTAAATAATGTTGACAAAGTTTTTTTTTTGTTTGTTTGTTTTTTTGAGACGGAGTCTCGCTGTGTTGCCCAGGCTGGAGTGCAGTGGCCGGATCTCAGCTCACTGCAAGCTCCGCCTCCCAGGTTTACGCCATTCTCCTGCCTCAGCCTCCCGAGTAGCTGGGACTACAGGCGCCCGCCACCTCGCCTGGCTAGTTTTTTTTGTGTTTTTTTTTTGTTTGTTTTTTGTTTTTTTGAGACGGAGTCTCGCTGTGCTCCCAGGCTGGAGTGCAGTGGCGTGATCTCGGCTCACTGCAAGCTCCGCCTCCCGGGTTCACGCAGAGACGGGGTTTCACCGTGTTAGCCAGGATGGTCTCGATCTCCTGACCTCGTGATCCGCCCCCTTGGCCTCCCAAAGTGCTGGGATTACAGGCTTGAGCCACCGCACCCGGCCTTTTTTTTTTTTTTTGAAACAGGGTTTCACTCTGTCACCTAGGCTGGAGCGCAGCGTCAGGAGCACAAATCCTCGAATTCCTGGGCTCAAGGAATCCTCGTGCCTCAGCTTCCTGAGTAGCTGGGGCCACAGATGCGCACCACCAAGCCCAGCTAATTTTCTTACTGTTTTTGTAGAGACAGAGTCTCACTATGTTGCCCAGACTGCTCTCAAACTCCTGGCCTCCCACCTCTGCCTTCCAAAGCGCTGGGATTATAGGTGTGAGCCACTGCGCCCAGCCAAAGTTTTTAGTTACATGGGAAAGGCTATGTCATAAAGTTAAGGAAAACATACAGGGTTGTAAATACTCTCTGACAGGGTATCACTCTGTCACCCAGGCTGGTCTCAAACTCCTGGACTCAAGCGATCCACCCACCTCAGCATCCCAAAGTGTTGGGATTATAGGCATGAGCCACCGTGCCCAGCCCCTCTCTAATTTTAATGATGTAAAAATGTATAGGAAAAAGACAGCAATATTTTACCAGAGGTTTGGGTGGTAGGATTACGAATAATTTAGATTTATTTTATTCCATATCCTTTCCTCTTTTTTGCAATGTTTTACAATGAGAACATATTCAGGAAAAAAGCTTTATTTTATTTTATTTGTTTATTTATTTTTGAGATGGAGTCTCGCTCTGTCGCCCAGGCTAGAGTGCAGTGGTGTGATCTCGGCTCACTGCAACCTCTGCCTCCCGGGTTCAAGCAATCTTCGTGCCTCAGCTTCCTGAGTAGCTGGGGCCACAGATGCGCACCATCAAGCCCAGCTAATTTTCTTACTGTTTTTGTAGAGACAGAGTCTCACTATGTTGCCCAGACTGCTCTCAAACTCCTGGCCTCCCACCTCTGCCTTCCAAAGCGCTGGGATTATAGGTGTGAGCCACTGCGCCCAGCCAAAGTTTTTAGTTACATGGGAAAGGCTATGTCATAAAGTTAAGGAAAACATACAGGGTTGTAAATACTCTCTGACAGGGTATCACTCTGTCACCCAGGCTGGTCTCAAACTCCTGGACTCAAGCGATCCACCCACCTCAAAAAATTAGCTGGGGGTGGTGGTGGGCGCCTATATTCCCAGCTACTCAGGAGGCTGATGCAGGAGAATCGCTTGAACCCGGGAGGTGGAGGTTGCAGTGAGCTGAGATCGAGCCACTGCACTTCAGCCTGGGTGACAGAGCAAGAGTCTGTCTCAAAAAAAAAAAAAAGAAGAGAATGAGATAACCAAAGAGAGGGAAGCTTTGCTTCTTTCTGGGCAATTATTCCAATGATTAATCTGAAGCATATATAAGGGTTGGAAGTGAGGGAAGAAGACACATTACCTTTAGCAAAGTTGTATTTACAGGGTTCAGGCGGGAATTGCATTCGACCTAAAATTTAAAAAAAAGGAGAAAATAATTTTATGAGTTGCTAGGAAAAAAAATGAAATAGCTCGGCATGAGAATGATCTTGCAAGATCAACAGCTCAGTTTGCAGAAGGCTGAACCAGCCAAAGAGATTACCAAAATACATAATGGGAGATATATTTATATGATATACTTTGATATTTCTGAGCAGATCTAAAAATTTAACTTATCTAATTTTCTGAATCAGTTATGTGTCTTTAAAAAACTATAAGCTGAATCTAAGTCTTCCTACTGACTAGCTATATAACATGAAAGTAGGTTACTTTACTTCTTTGAAAAATGGACTGGACCGTGGGTCCTCTCCTGCTGGAATCTCTTTAATGGCTTCTGAGCACAACTGGTTCTAACGGCTAAGCCCTGGGCACCTCCCTTGCCTCACTTTTCACCTCTTTCCTTAGTGGGTTTGCCATTCTTTATATCCTCACTCTTTTCCATCTCAAGGTCTTTGGCTATCCAGTCCAAAGTTGAACTCTTCTCATTTTTCTCTCATGGAGTCATTTAATTAAGAATCGTGGCCCTGTGCATTCACATGTCTGATATCCTGCACCCTTGTGTTCATGAAGGCAGAGATCTCAAAGAAAATGTTCTGGGGAGACAATCTCTCGGTTCCGCATTGTTTTACAGCTATTTTGATCAACTGGATCTCTCCGTTTATATGTTTGCTAAGAACATACATGTAAAACCTGTGCTTAGAATCTGGATCCAGCAGGGTGAAATATGTAATACAAAGCAAAATGAAACCACTGCAAATGCTTCGCAACTGAGCTGAGTGAACACAGAAAGAAGTGGGATTTCTACAGGTAGATAAAGGGAAAGGGTGAGTGCTTGAGGGCTTCCAGAATTAAGGCGAAAGCATAAGCAAAGCCCCAGGGGTGGGAACGGAACAGCTACCGAGGCAAGTGTGAGGTGAGGTAGACTGAAGGTGAGGCTGGGGCACAGGCTGGAGCTGACTGTGGAAGGCAGGATGCCACAGAAGGTGTCTGAAGTGACAGGATTTGAGTTGTTTTTGGAGAGCAGTGGCCTACATGATAGACTGCAGTAGCAGCAAGCAGTGGTTAAAATTACCTAACCAAGACCCAGTAATCCAGATGAACTTTTACTCTGGGGATTGCGGGTGGGGGGTATACAAAACTCTTCTAAAATCAGGGAAAATATAAAAGTCAGGATCACCAAATCGGAGTTTTGATTTGCTCTATACAAAGGACAATGCAGACAGTGACAAATGAATGTACCCGTTCACTACAGAATGTGCATTAACTCTAAAACGTAGAATTTAAAAACTGGATCCCTAACTGCTAGGTACAGTGCTTAGAATATAGTAGATAGACTATAAATATTTTCTGGAAGAATGAACTCTCAAATCTGGATTTAATATAATCAATCATGCTTTCCTTGGTTCACTACTTTGCAATTTCTACATTATATAAGAAGTCTTGATACCTAGTAGACCAACCACAATCACTGTGGGTTTTTGTTGTTGTTGTTGTTGTTGTTTTGTTTTGTTTTGTTTTCTTTGAGATGGAGTCTTGTTCTCTCACCCAGGCTGGGGTGCAGTGGCACGATCTCAGCTCCCTGAAACCTCCGCCTCCTGGGTTCAAGCAATTCTCCCACCAAGGAGCTGGGATTACAGGTGTGTGCCATCACGCCCAGCTCGTTTTTGTATTTTTAGTAGAGACAGGGTTTTGCCATGTTGGCCAGGCTGGTCTTGAACTCCTGACCTAAGGTGATCTGCCCATCTCGGCCTCCCAAAGTGCTGGGATTACAGGCATGAGCCACAACCACTGTTTTTTGACATCTACTCTCTCCCCGGCTGCCTGAATGCACTCAGTCTTACTCATTTTCATGTTCTTCATAGCAGAGTAAATAGGAGATGCTCAAAATATGATGTTGAATGAATAAGTAAGCAAGAATAGTTACTGACAATGACTAGAATTTGTAGAGTTTTTTTTTTGCTCTTCAATGCATGGATATTCCTCTTAATCCCTACACACTTGTGGGATAAAATGCTCTGGCAGAGGAACTAGGTTTGACTGCGTATGAAAGAGCATCTATTTGTGGTATAGACAGGGCTGCAGAATTCTCATAAACACTGAAGGTGTGGAAATCAGAAAGAGGAAGAGCCCTTATCTATATGGCTAAATTAACACAGTCTTGAAAAATAACTGCAGAGGTTGCTTCAAGTCCATACAATTTTAAAAAGGCAAATAACTAGATACAAGATGAACAGAAATATTTAGCATTGTAAGGAAATTCTGATTAAGGATATTTTCTAAAAATATTTTCCTGTATTAAGTATATATGTTCATTTTAAAATGTTTTTGATAGTTTAGAAGCATGTATTTCCACCTTTTTAGCCAGCAAACAGTGACCTTTATAAAGTTCCTTCTTGATAAATTGGGGTCACCTCTATAACCTTTTTACCTCTGGGGAATGTTTTTTGAGGAAGGGGAACTGAGCGTTATTGGCCTCTATGGGAAGTCATGCCATGTATTTCACACCAGACACGGAGTGTTTTACAGGACAGTTCAGGGAGATGCGAATGTATCCTTTCACATCTGCATGTTCTCACCCTACAAACATTTCCCCACTCTACAAACCTTCTCAACTATGTCTACACCTCTGATTATTTGTTAGACTTCCTTTCCAAAAAGCTTTACTCCATAATGTTTTGCTCTATTTAGGGCAAAGAAATCAAGTAATTTCACAGAGATATTTAGTTAAGTTATATATGCTGTAGGAAACACATAATAAGACATATGAAAAACTATCAACTTCATTTGTAATCAAATAAATGCAAATTAAAACAGTGAGATACTATTTTTAACCTATCGAATTAACTACTAATAAAAAAAAGATTCGATGCTAGACAGTGTGCAGTGAAACAGGCATGCTTATACAGTGCTGGTGGCAATATACTGGTATATTCTTTCTGGAAAGGAACCTGGCAAAATGTATGAAAGACTTTGTAAAGATTTATAATTTTGGACACATTAATCCCACTTCTGGAAATCCATCCCAAGGAAATAATAAAAGATTCAAAGATTTTCTAAGGATGTCCAACAGTATCATTTTTATTTTTATTTATTTTTTTGAGACAGAGTGTCTCCCTGTCTCACCCAGGCTGGAGTGCAGTGGTGCGATCTTGGCTCACTGCAGCCTCTGACTCCCAGGTTTGAGCGATTCTCCTGTCTCAGCCTCCCAAGTAGCTGGGAATACAGGAGCATGCCACCACACCCAGCTAATTTTTTGTATTTTTAGTAGAGATGGGGTTTCACCATGTTGCCCAGGCTGGTCTTGAACTCCTGACCTCAGGTGATCCACCCACCTCGGCCTCCCAAAGTGCTGGGACTATAGGCGTGAGCCACCGCACCTGGCCAACAGTAACATTAATAGTGCAAAATCGGAATTAATCAACATGAGAACAAAGTTAAATAATGGTAAACCTACAGACATACTGATTCTGTAATGGAAAAATGCTATCAATAGTGTTAAGTCAGGCCCCCAAATCTTGTATATTTAATATAATCAGGTCTACGTAAGGCAAAAAATAATACTCTGTCTTTAGGTAATAGGATCATGATTTTCCCCTCATCCTTCTATTTTTAAATTTTTTTCATATTTTCTACAATGAGCATATATCATTTTTATCCATGTGCTATGTCCTTCAGAAGGAGGCAGAGGTGGCCTTCCAGCCTGCTGGATTTATGGTGGTAATCTATTCCAGATTAAAGGCTGAGGCTGTCAGAAATCTGACAATAAGTAAACGGTGTTTAGTTGTACTACTTGCCACAAAGTGAACTACACAACACAAAGCAATCAAGAAAAAAACTGACCCCATCTAATGAAATCTAATGATGAATTAATTTTCCAAAATGTATGACAAAGAGCAAACCCTGATATGTGCAATCAGAAAGAACAAAAACTAGTATTTACCGACTGTTTCTAGTGTGTCAGCAGTGTGCTACATACTTTTTTTTTGAGACAGGGTCTCACTCTGTCACCCAGGCTGGAGTGCAGTGGCGCAATCATGGCTCACTGCAGCCTTGACCTCCTGAGCTCAAGCAAACCTCCTACCTCAGCCTCCAGAGTAGCTGGGACTACAGGCTGTCACCATGCCAGCTAATTTTTTTTTTTATTTTATTTTTTGAGATGGAGTCTCACTCTGTTGCCCAGGCTGGAGTGCAGTGGCACGATCTTGGCTCACTGCAACCTCTGCCTCCCAGGTTCAAGCGATTCACCTGCCTCAGTCTCCCAAGTAGCTGAGACTATAGGCATACACCTCCATGCCCGGCTAATTTTTTTTTTTTTTTTATTTTTTGAGATGGAGTCTCACTCTGTTGCCCAGGCTGGAGTGCAGTGGCACGATCTTGGCTCACTGCAAGCTCTGCCTCCTGGGTTCATGCCATTCTCCTGCCTTAGCCTCCCGAGTAGTTGGGACTATAGGTGCCCGCCACCATGCCTGGCTAATTTTTTGTATTTTTAGTAGAGTTAGGGTCCCACTGTGTTGCCCAGGCTAATCTCAAACTCTTGGGCTCAAGTGATCTTCCTGCCTCAGCCTCCCAAAGTGTTGGGAATACAGGCGTGAGCCACTGCACCCGGCCTATACATCTTATTACATTTTGATCTCATTCATCTTCACAGCATGAGGACATACTTACCACAGCCTCAACTGCAGGCGAATTGTCCCCTACCACCAGTAAAGTAGAACACCTAGGTAGGCAAAGTAAGAGGTGTCACTCAGCAAATAGACATATAAATTCCACTGAACACCAAATTAGTCTATGAAAGGCAAAGATATTTGGCAAGTCAGCTAAGGAAACTGAAGAACTTACTTTAATGTTTTTGATTTGTTATCATTTTGGCCCAGTATGGGTCTTTCGATCTCCAGGTCTCTGCGTCTAGAAAAACAAAGCAGAAGCAATGCCCTTTTTGGGTAAAGTCATAGCAACTCAGGTTTTCTGGTCATAAACACCAAAGTTTATCAAGGAAGGTGAAACTATCTTTTCTTCACACCTGAGAAGGGAAGAGGCCTGTGACTTGGTTCTTGAGTTGCCACTTCAGTGGCATCTGGTACGGAGCAGGAAGGAGGCTCCTGGCTTAACCCTGAAGGACTCTTTGGGATGCTACAAGGAGACAGCCTCAACACTCAACAGTAACACCACTGAAACTCTCAAGTCCTAAGTGTTTAATTAATTACTTTTTTTGAGACAGAGTCTCAGTCTGTCACCCAGGCTGGAGTGCAGTGGCGCGATCTCAGCTCACTGCAATCTCCGCCTCCCGGGTTCAAGTGACTCTCCTGCCTCAGCCTCCCAAGTAGGTGAGACTATAGGCGCCCACCACTATGCCTGGCTAATTTTTGTATTTTTGTAGAGATGGGGTTTCACTATGTTGGCCAGGCTGGTCTTGAACTCCTGACCTTGAGATCAGCCTGCCTCGGCCTCCCAAAGTGCTGGGATTATAGGCGTGAGCCACTGCGCCCGGTCCTAAGTGTTTAATTTACAGGAATAAATTTCTTAAGAGAATGACTTACACTTTGAGGAGGAGGGAGGGGTGTTTTCCTTGTAACTGAGTTTAGCACAGGGCTTAATCTTTCTGATTTCAACTAAAAATAGGGAGGCTCTGTTATATAGAGGAAAGAGCTAGAGAGACAAGGTTCAAAATCTGGCTTCACTCCTTACTGGCTGTATAACTTTGGTTAAGTTACAGCTGATCCATTTCCTCAATCTTTGTCCATGTTTCTAGAAAGCCAGAAAGGGCTCACATTTTCACCTCAGAGAAGTTCGTCCCAATATTAGATACAGTCCTCTCTCCTTCTCCCGCCCTCCTCTTTTTAGAGCTGTTTACATTTAAGTGAAGAAATGGGAAAAAACTATACCCATTGTAGGAATTCAAGAAGAGCTGCAGGTTGTCTTGGTTGATGTCTTGGGCAATATGCATTCTGTAGGTTTGGATCAGGTCCAGGTTGGCCTGTAACTCTTCCTAGAACAATTTAAAGAAGACATGGGCAAGCTTTTGAGCTCCAGAATAAGTCCATCTTGTTTGGTTTGCATTTTCTTTACCACGAGTCAAATCGTGCAGCTCATGATGGGAACTGGGGCAGAGCCTGGGGACTACTGATGTGCTCGTAGGCTGAATGGCTGATGATTTGCATCAGACTGGTTCAGTGCCATATTCTGTGTCAGATGAGGGCAGCAAAGGATTCAAGTACTAGTTGTGGAACTAAATCACCTCATCACTCTGAACCCTGATTTCTGTGTGTGTTTTTTTAATGTTCTGCCATTCTTCACAAAAACGGAGATACTATAAAATGAAGACAATAACCAGCTATCTGACAAGGCTGTTTTAAAGATTAAGTAAGAAAAGTTATAGAAACATATAAACCACAAAGTGTAAAACAAATGGAGCGTAACATTTCTTTTCTTTTTTTATGAGACAGAGTCTTGCTCAGTTACCCAGGCTGAGCAATGGTGCAGTCTCAGCTCACTGCAACCTCCACTTCCCGGGTTCAAGCGATTCTCCTGCCTCAGTCTCCTGAGTAGCTGGGATGAGGGTCAGGCACCACCATGCTCAGCTAATTTTTTTGTATTTTTAGTAGAGACAGGGTCTCACTATGTTGGCCACACTGGTCTTGAACTCTTGACCTCAAGTGATCTGCTGCACCTGGCTGCATTTCTTCTAATAACCATAAATCTGTGCAATTAACTTATCTATATCTTCAATGATATAATCAGCGTATTACCTATCTATATGTACCACCATTTAATATTATACACTGTATAATTATATATTCCATTGCGTTTATGACACTTTATTGATTTAGTAATTCATTATTTATTTTAATCTTTTAAATTTTATTTCAGAGATGGGGACTCACTATGCTGCTCAGGCTGGAGTGCAGTGTCGATTCACAGGCACTATCATAAGGTACTGCAGCTTGGAACTCCTGGGCTCAAGCGATCCTCCTGCTTCAGCCTCCTGGGGAGCTGAGACAACAGGCACACTCAACTGTGCCTGGCTCATTTATTTTAATCTTATTACCAATACTTTTGAAGGTATAAAATACGAGAGAAACAAAATGGTCTATACAGTGAAAAGTCTCCCTCTCCACCACCCACTGTTTAATGGTCACTCTGTTGCTGGCCTTCTCAGATGTCATCAGAGCTAGTTGCCAGATTCTTGAGTACATAAACATACATGTAAATACGTGTGTGCATACACACATACATCATTAAGCAGTTTTAAGCAGAAAGGAAAATTCTTGCATTGGAGGAAAGAAATAATATCAGGGATAATTAAGAAATCTGTTAATCCAGGGCAATGTGTAAAGTTCACCGGTGACCAAGCCTTGTTAGAGAAATAGAGATATGGAAAAACTTTCTTCACATTTCCACAACCATGTGGATGAAATGAACCCAGAATACAGTTGGAAACTGACAAGAGTCTACCTGAAACTGAAGGGTACGTGAATCACTACTAGAAAACTTTGTGAGAGCCCCAGTCTCATTCTAAAGATATTATAAGAAAAGTTAATACCAAATGATAGGCCAGGTGTGGTGGCTCATGCCTGTAATCCCAGCACTTTAGGAGGCTGAGGCAGGAGGATCTCTTGAGGCCAGGAGTTTGAGACCAGCATGGGTTAACGTAGCAAGACCCCCATCTCTACAAAAAATTTTAAAACTAGCTTAGTGTGGTGGTACATGCCTGTAATACTAGCTACTCAGGAGGCTGAAGGAGAAGGATGGCTTGAGCCTAGGAGGTCGAGGCTGTAGCAAACTAAGATGGCACCACTGCACTCCAGCCCGGACAACAGAGCAAAACCCTGTCTCAACAAACAAACAAATAAACAGACTCCCATGTTTTTAAAAACACAAATTATAGTCCTCTAGACATTGTTCTACACTTGCTTTCCCTTGTAAAGTATGGTAAAGATCATTCCTTATCCGGATATATAGAGCTATCTCATTTATTTACACTACCTGTCTTCCCACATCCTTGCTAGTACAAACGTATTTTTAATTTATTTCTCTTATTGGTGAATTGAACATTATTCATGTTTAAAAACCATGTTTGTTTCCATTTCAAAGTAATACAAGCATTAACTTGCTTACATGTTTTAAAATTTATTTTTAGGCCGGGTGCGGTGGCTCAAGCCTGTAATCCCAGCACTTTGGGAGGCCGAGACGGGCAGATCACGAGGTCAGGAGATCAAGACCATTCTGGCTAACACGGTGAAACCCTGTCTCTACTAAAAAATACAAAAAACTAGCTGGGCGAGGTGGCGGGCGCCTGTAGTCCCAGCTACACGGGAGGCTGAGGCAGGAGAATGGCGTAAACCTGGGAGGCGGAGCTTGCAGTGAGCTGAGATCCAGCCACTGCATTCCAGCCCGGGCGACAGAGCATGACTCCGTCTCAAAAAAAATAAATAAAATAAAATAAAATAAAATTTATTTTTAATTTTTATTATCTTTTTGACTGGTCAAGAGCAGTAGTGAGAAAGGGGAAAGAGTAGAACAGGGAATTCAATCTGTAACTAACTGTGAACAATCAATTCAGATAATTCTCTACCTTCAGACCAGCCTGGATGCTTAAATTTTAATGAACTCTTCAGTCTTACGAAAATAAAACTTATGAAAATCCACTGTGACCTCATATGTTTTAAATTAAACATATATATGTTTAATTTATATATATGTTTTAAATTAAAAATGTATATATTATATATATATTTCTCTCTCTCTCTCTCTCTCTCTATATATATAAAACTCTCTATATATAGTGAGGATGTTCTTGCTTTTTGGAAATTATTATTTTTTTTTTTTTTTGAGACGGAGTCTCGCTCTGTCACCCAGGCCGGAGTGCAGTGGCCGGATCTCAGCTCACTGCAAGCTCCGCCTCCCGGGTTCACGCCATTCTCCTGCCTCAGCCTCCCGAGTAGCTGGGACTACAGGCGCCGCCACCTCGCCCGGCTAGTTTTTTGTAGTTTTTAGTAGAGACGGGGTTTCACCGCGTTAACCAGGATGGTCTCGATCTCCTGACCTCGTGATCCGCCCGTCTCGGCCTCCCAAAGTGCTGGGATTACAGGCTTGAGCCACCACACCCGGCCTGGAAATTATTAAATACTGGCCTTAGCTTTCCCCTCAGAGGCCTATATGAAGTAGCATTTCTTTTTGCTATGTTGCCCAGGCCGGTCTCGAACTCTGGCCTCAAGTGGTCCTCCCATCACAGCCTCCCAAGTAGCTGGGACCACAGGCATGTGCTACTAAGCCTGGCTGATTTTTGAAAAAAATTTTTTTTTTGAGACAGAGTTTTGCTCTTGTTGCCCAGGCTGGAGTGCAATGGCACGATCTTGGCTCAATGCAACCTTCGCCTCCTGGGTTCAAGCAAGCCTCCTGGGTTCAAGCAAGCCTCCTGGGTTCAAGCAATTCTCCTGCCTCAGCCTCCTGAGTAGCTGGGATTACAGGCATGTACCACCACATCGGGCTAATTTTTTGTTTGTTTGTTTGTTTTTCCCGAGATGGAGTCTTGCTCTGTCGCCCAGAGCTGGGGTGTAGTGGTGCAATCTCGGCTCACTGCAACCTCTGCCTCCTGGGTTCAAGCAATTCTCCTGCCTCAGCCTTCCGAGTAGCTGGTACTACAGGCGTGTGCCACCACACCTGGCTAATTTTTTCGTATTTTTAGTAGAGGTAGGGTTTCACCATGTTGGCCAGGCTGGTCTTGAACTCCTGACCTTGTGATCCACCTGCCTGGGCCTCCCAAAGTGCTGGGATTACAGGTGTGAGCCACCGTGCCCAGCCTAATTTTGTATTTTTAGTAGAGGCAGGGTTTCTCCATGTTGGTCAGGCTGAACTCAAACTCCTGACCTCAGGTGATCCACCTGCCTTGGCCTCCCAAAATGCTGGGATTAGAGGTGTGAGCCATGGCACCCAGCCAATTTTTGAATTTTTATAAAGACAGGGTCCCACTATGGGGCACCTGCCTCAGCCTCCCAGGTAGCTGGCACTATAGGCATATGCCACCACGCCCCACTAATTTTTGTATTTTTAGTAGAGACAGAGTTTCACCATGTTGGCCAGGCTGGTCTCAAACACCTGACCTCAAGTGATCTGCCCACCTCGGCCTCCCAAAGTGCTGGATTACAGATGTGGAGCTACTGCGCCCGACCCCTAATTTGTAGTATATTAATACAATGAACTGCTGCTACACAGTAATAAAAAAGAATGAACTACTGACACATGGAATGACATGGATGAATCTCAAGATAGTATGTTGAGCAAAAGAAGCTAGACTCAGAGAAGTAAACACTCTGTTATTCCATTTATATGAAGTTTAAGAACAGTCAAAATTAATCTATGGAGGTAACAGAATAGTGAAAACCTTGTTTGGGGTGGGGAATTATTGAGTGGGAAAGGATAATGAGTAAACCTTTGTGGGGTGATGAAAATGTTTTATTTGTGTTCTAGGTGGTAGTTACAAGAAACTATACATCAGTAAATGGTCACTGAGATGCACTTAGGATGTGTGCATTACACTATGTATAAGAATTACCTCAATTAAAGAGAGGGCAAGATGGAGGCAAAGCCCAAAGGAGTCAGCTAGAAGAATTAAAGTGGTTGCCACTAAAAAGCAGAATATGGGGTAGGTGACAGATTCTTTGTAATAAGCCCTGTAGAACTTCTCTACTCTAAAATATATGTGAATTTGTAACTTTGATAAAAATATGATGAAATAAAAGACTATGGACTTCGGACTTAGCCTGACCTGGATTCAAATGTCAGCTCCACACTTACCATCTGGACAGTGGTGGCAAGTTATGTGGCCTCTCTGGTCTTTGGTTTCCCTATCTTAAAATCAGACTAATAGAACCATGTAAAAAGCAACTTGGTTTGCACATCTAAAGTACTTATAAATAATCAGTACTCAGAAAGGAAAAAAACTAGCAGTTTTCTTCCCATCTGCCATTTTCCTTCAGATAGTATTTTAAATTAAGCAGATTACAATTGAGCACCCACGCTCGTCTCCTCATTCCAGACACCTCACAGCTCTCTGACCTCACTGCTCATTTACTCCATCACTCCTTTGTCAGTCACCCAACTCACTTTTCCCTTTGAAGGGTCCCCCTCATCTACCAGTTAAGCTCCCTCCCCTACCCAGCAATTATGTACACGATAACTGCCACTTTCTGTGAAGACTTCGGTTTCCTCACCAGTTGAAAAACACGGGGCTTGAACAAGATAATCTCTAAGCTTCTTTCAGCACTATTATTTCACGGTTTTCCCCCCTGAAATGTCTATTTCTGTGAAGCCTTTCCCAGACCTCCTAATGGCTCTAAAGATGTCTGGGGAGGCACGTGATGTCAAACATTAACAGATGGCATGCTACTTACAGGAACAGGTAGCAGGAGATGCTATCTTTTCTCATAGCTCCACATGTCAACAGTCATGTGGCAATGAGTTAAAGATTCACCTTTGCAGGGCCACATGCCTTTCAGACTACATTGGAACTGTTATTTACTAGGGTCAGGTAAATTCTAAGGTAACCCTTCCTTCCTGAGGTAAAATAAGAATTTGCATGCAAACCAATAAACACAGCTCTTCTGGGTGGAACAGGTACTTACCGGCCCAAAGTGATGAGCCAAAATAATGTCCACAACATTGGTTGTCAGGCCAGAGAGCTGAAAAGATAAAAACTCTGTGTTAAGAATGTAAGCATATGCAAAAATTTATCAAGCTACCCAATTAAAATGAATGCACTTTATTATATATGTTATCTCTTAAAAAACAAATGAAAAACCTTTGGCCGGGCACGGTGGCTCACACCTGTAATCCCAGCACTTTGGGAGGCTAAGATGGGCGGACCATGGTCAGGAGATCGAGACCATCCTGGCTAACATGGTGAAACCCCATCTCTACTAAAATTACAAAAAAGTTAGCTGGGCGTGGTGGCAGGTGCCTGTAGTTCCAGCTACTTTGGAGGCTGAAGCAGGAGAACGGCGTGAACCCAGGAGGCGGAGCTTGCAGTGAGCCGAGATTGTGCCACTGCACTCCAGCCTGGGCAACAGAGTGAGACTCCATCTCAAAAAAAAGAGAAAAACCCCACAATTCATTGTTATACATTTTCATGGTTTCAAAGAAACACAGAGATGAGAAACAAATCAGAAAAAACTGTCTCCTTTCCAGGGTGATAATAAAGCCTGCTGTGAAACAGGGGACTGGAAGAGACACTGAACATTCCTTCTTTGAAAGCCTGAGACCTAGACCTCATGGCTGTTTGATGTTTTATTCCTGTCTGTATTTCCGTATTTACACTGGACTTATGGTTGATAAGGACTAACAATCACTCCCATGACTTCCAAGAGACAAAAACAATTTTTTTCTCTTTCTTCCCGTTTTTGCTATCTTCATTTCAGGAAGTAGGAGGAAATGAGTTGTTTACAGAATGTTCTTGAGTTTTAAACATTTTTCTCCTAATTTTTCCCATTTCAAAATGATGCATCTCACAGTCTAATAAATGCAGCAATCTGTGTAAATCCACATACTGTAGTCTATTTTCAGAAAAATTTCCAACTCAAATTATGTTGCTGATTCTTGTTAAGCCTTCTTCCTTGGTTTTATGCTGAACTCGTACTGCTGATCGGGGTGAAGTACTGAATTGGGGGTAGGCATGGAGAAGAGGCGCTGCGGGAGACAGACATGGCTATGCCTGGAGTAGGATCATATAGTCCCAGAAAGAAGTCCCGAAATCTTTGTATAGGTTATCAGTGATGCACAGGTTATGAACTAGAAAATCAGGCCGGGCGTGGTGGCTCACACCTGTAATCCTAGCACTTTGGGAGGCCAAGGCCAGCAGATCACCTGAGGTTAGGAGTTTGAGACCAGGCTGACCAACATGGTGAAAGCCCGTCTCTACTAAAAATATACAAATTAGTCAGGCATGGTGGCACGCGCCTGTAGTCCCAGCTACTCGGAAGGCTAAGGCAGGAGAATCACTTGAACCCAGGAGGTGGAGGTTGCAGCAAGCTGAGATTGTGCCACTGCACTCCAGCCTGGGAACAGAGCAAGACTCCGTCTCAAAAAAAAAAAAAAAAAAAAAATTGTACCCACATAGTAAGAATTAGGACACGTTTGGTTGATTGACTGACAGGGTCTTGCTCTGTCACCCAGGCTGGAGTGCAGTGGCGCCATCATAGCTCACTGCAGCCTTGACCTCCCAGGCTCAAGTGTCTTCTGGCCTCAGCCACCAAGTAGCTGGGACTACAGGTGTGCACCACCACACCAGGCTAATTTTTAAATTTTTTATAGAGACAAGGTCTCACTATGTTGCCCAGGGTAGTCTTGAACTCCTGAGCTCAAGCAATTCTCCTGCCTCACCCTCCCAAAGTGCTGGGATTAGCAGTGTGAAACACTGTACCCAGCCAGGACAAATTTTAGATAAGCCAGGCTGTGAGAAGGAATTTCCACAGCATCTGGCAATAACACTGTTAATGTGTTTCAGCTAAGAAATACCTCATTTCTCAAAAATGTAAACATAGGAAGAAATGGATATTTAGACTGCAGTTTGCTGGTGACTAGAATATTTTAACAGTTTTAATAAAAATATGCTTATCACAGAAAATTACGAAAAAACAATACAAAAGACATCATTTGTTTGTTTTCTTTTCTTTTTTTTTTGAGACCGGGTCTTGTTCTCTTGTTCTGTCACCCAGGCTGGAGTGAAGTGGCGCAATCCAGGCTCACTGCAACCTTCACCTCCCAGGTTCAAGTGGCTCTCCAACCTCAGCTCCCGAGTAGCTGGGACCACAGGTGTGCGCCAGCACACCTGGCTATGTTTCTGTATTTTTAGTAGAGATGGGCTTCACCATGTTGGCCAGGTGGCCAGGCTGGTCTTGAACTCCTGACCTCAAGTGATCCGCCCACTTTAATGAATGCTTTAAAGCATTAAAACAATGCTTTAATGAATATTCTGGGTCTGCAACCCCCTTACTAGCAATGTAATTTTAAGTAAATAATTTCTCTGTAGGATAGTAATAGTACCAATGGATTGTCCTGAGGATGAAAAGGTTAAGTATATCTAAAACATTTAGTTGGGCGCAGGGGCTCATGCCTGTAATCCCAGCACTTTGGGAGGCTGAGATGGGCAGATCATGAAGTCAGGAGTTAGAGACTAGCCTGACCAACATGGTGAAACCCCGTCTCTACTAAAAATACAAAAATTAGCTGGGCGTGGTGGCATGCATCTGTTTACAGATGTGAGCCACCACGCTCTGCCCTCTTTAAATCTTTTTAAAGATCACTAACTACCTTTCAAATAAGTTCCTACATATCGACTTATTGAATCTCATGGTTTGAGTACAATAAACTTTTTTTTTTTTTTTTTAGATACAGGTC